TTATTAAATTGCACAAGCAATCTTGTAAATATTGGAACATAAAATTCCTACAAGAAGCATTAATGCTATTAGAATTCCGCAAAATCGCTCCGTATCACGCTTTGACACTAAACTCTGTCAGTTTTTATATGAGAATTATGCAGATTACATGCCCGTTTTTATTTGCAAAATGGTTTTAATCATTTTAATGGGCTCTGCTGGAATTAATACTCATTCAAGTATGGGTTGGACGTAAAAATCCGGAATGTAAAATTTACGAGGGGATAATTCAAGATTTTCCAGGAAATTACACCAATTTTTTCCGCGTTTCTGTCATTGTTTTTTTAAGAAACCGAAAAGTCTGGATGGGGGTGACGATTTCTGTCCAGACAAATTGCATATTTAATCACTTCGAATGATCATAAATTATTTTTTTTTATTTAAAGGCCTAGATGAAGCAGTTAATATTAAATATTCATAAAACAATTGGAAAACAGATAGGAGGGGTAATTTGTGACAGCGAAAAGTAAAGCATTTACATCCGGGACACCTTCGTGTTAGTTAATGAAGCCCATAATCGGGCATTTTTTATAGGAATGGAACTCTCTATGAAGTTTTTCTTTCTTTTGACTTGTGCACTAAGAGCCATTGTTGGGACTAGATTTAGAATTCCTTTTAAGTAACGCTTCCTTCGACTCAATCATTCAAGAGTATTAGCAACCAAGAATTGGCAAGAATTTTCAACAGAAAAACAGGGAAAATAGATTCGGTTGCATGGTTTCCACTAGGAAAAACGCCAAGCGTATTAAATATTGATGTTCATAAATGACCATTAAGCCAAAGCAACGTTGATTGTCTTTTTGCGTGATAACTTTAAGTGCGAAAGGCCTCATATAGACTTCAAACTATTCAAGTAGGTACCAGCTTGTACTAACTAAACCGAGGGCGTTTCAAAACTCCAATTGAGGATATGCGTTAAATTTAATGTAGATTAGCTCTCAATTTGCTGAATTTATTGCAACGATTTCGATCAGGAAACCAGAACTGGGATCCTGTTGATGCCCGGTTTGTTAATACTTTGCTTTTCAAGATTTAAACATTAGAACAAAAATTAGAAGTAAGTAAAGGGTGTTCATTTTGCGAGAAAAACGTTTATCAAAAGAGACAGACTTTCGAGGCCATTGAAACTAATGGGCTTTCCGGGTTTTTAGGCCGTCGTTCGGCAGAATTTCTTCCTGAAGTTTCGCAAGCACGAGTGGCTTGCATCTTCAGAAGTGGTTTGCTTGAACACTTACACTGTTCCGATCGAAGCGTTCAAGCAAACCACTTCTGAAGATGCAAGCAACTCGTGCTTGCGAAACGTCAGGAAGAAATTCTGCCGAACGACGGCCTAAAAATCCGTACAACCCATTAGTTTCAAAAACGTTTATATTTTTGGCTATTCAATGATGAAGTGATGTTGAGTCCAATTCAGAAAAATTCGAAAATCGAAATGGAAAAGGCCAGAATTTAAAATACCTTCCAGGTGTTTGAACATCGCTATGAAACACCCTGTGTAATATATTTTTGGAGTGCGCTTTTGCTAAGCTTTAAGCGTTCTTTGCGAGTATCAGACGCCGTTTCTCCTAATTAACTATTTAAGACGGCTTTACGGTAATACTTTAATGTGATATCTGGATGTTTTAATTCGAGAGTAATTTTTGTGTGAGGCATTAATTTTCTGTTTGTGCTTCTCCTAAATAAGGGGCTTATCTCCCTCCTCAGCATTTAAACGGATTATTATTTGAGAGCCGCAAAAAGTTATTACAAGTAAAGAAACGTATAAAAGTATAAGTAATTAAGGAAACAAAAGCGCTTTTACTGTTCGGGGAGGTTATTCGGCTTTTATGCGTTGCAACTGCGCTAATTTTTAAGGAAAACATTTTAATAATGGTGTACAACACAATACTGAAGTGCTTATCGTAAATTTTTCTTTATAGCCCTTTGCCAGTAGTGTCGCTTCGAGTGATCATTAAAGCGTAATGAATAATAATTTTTCGATGGTAATATGCAAAGACGAATGACAACCGACCGAATTTCGCCTTCTGAAATTAAACAAATGTGGGCGTCTTATTTGACACAAAGGAACCTCCAGTTGCGCCCCTAATTTCGTGCTCTTTGACATTGGACACCGTTTTTCAATCACCATTTATTTTCTCAACTTGCTTTGACTGACTTGATATTTGTTTTACTTTCTCTAAGAGTAATATAGTTTACACACTAATTAGACAGGCTTTGGACTAATTACTGCTGGCAGATTAGGATCGTCATTAAATGCAGAGAGGGATATATGCACTAATACAATAAATACTAAATTGATTCAATTTGAGGGTAATCGGAGCCGGAATCAATAAGGGGATATATGAGAATGTCTATTCAGAATTACAGACAACCAATTTGGATAAACAATTCCCAATTATCAATTTTCAAGTTCTAAGTTGTCCTGGCTTGCACAGTCACGTTTCCAACTTCATAGTCGAATACTCGATTAAATACATGTCCAAATCATCAAGATTAATTATTTCAGCCAGAGACATCCAATAATACCTTAGGTAAAATATATCGGGCGCAGCTCAATCAACGCCCTTATATACCTATACATGTGTCACGTGCGAATAGGTTGTAGAAGTTAACATCAATCAGCAGTTCTGCATGTCATGAATGGTACGTCAGTTGTTCTAATGCCGCATTGACTATTGAGTACATTATATAATGGTTCGAACATGTAGGTAATCATCATCAACATGGGCGTTCTTCTAACATTTGCCAAAAAAAATCCATCATTTGGATCTCAAGAAAGCGACGAATCCAACGTGCTTATTGAAAAACACGCGGTTTTTTAACGGTTGCAATTTTTAACCGACGATATATTCTTTATTACAGACCCACAAACTTTACCTACTGCATATTGGGGGACTTTTTAAGTCGAAAACAATTTATTGAGCCAAAAAATTCGCATGTGAAATTTTTATTTTAAACCAAAAATTTCATTCGAATAGTCGAATTTTTGAAACAATATAAATCATCTGAAAACGTCTCGAATTCCACATCATTTTCATCTCAGGGATGTGCGGAATGTAACAAGCACATTGCCAAACGCAGCAAAAGCTTCACATCTGAAATAATTGACTTTCTGTGTGCACTTCTCGGTTTTTGAGCGTTCACGATCTTTACCCGACTTTTTTTTTGTGAGTTTCTTAGGTCGAGAACAATCCAATGAGCTCGAAAAATAGACATGTGAATTTTAAATTTTCCGCCGCAATCAATTCTCTCAATCGCAATTCTCTTGATGCCTCAAATTCTACATCATTTTCACCTCACGGAAGTGAGAAATGCGTGAGGGAGCGCTATGGAGTTGTTGCCGCTCTCTGAGTTAACGAGTTATAACTCATGGGTTAATGAGTTATAATTAATTTATTAAAGCTTTACGARACCTGAGACTGGAATTWTCACATCGAAAAAAAGGTCAACATTTTTTCTGAGTAATCTTTTACTACTTTGTTCAAACAACTGAAAAAAGTCATCTAGATTTTCGCTGCAACAGAACTGAGTCCAAAGAAAGTCAACGAGTTTTCTTGTAAAATCGACTTCCTAATTTTTTCGCATAAAAGATTCAGTTTGTCATTATTTTATAGTAAAACGTTAGGAAAATCGCGGTTCAGACTTTAAGTTGTTTAGAAGTATTGACCTAAAAGTGAAGAAACCCCAGTTTCAAAGAGTTTTCCAAATAAATGATTATAAACTTTCGCCTTTTCACTTCGGGGAAATATTTTCGGAAAAACAGCCAGAAATAATTATTACGGTTTTGTCCATAATTCGAAGCTACAAAAGAATTTTCAAAAATTTTTGTAAAGCTGTTAAGGAGGCGAGTGTTTATTATCTGATAATTTTTAACAGAAAATACCTAAAGATTGCTAGTATTTTAAGTCAAACTAAAAAATCATGCGATTTTTTGCGTTTTCGATTAAATACTTTTAGTTTTGTGACCGGTTTTGCAGAAAAACTTAATGTTTTTTTGGGAAAAACGGGAGGAATTTATTTTCGTTTTTCTCCCGAATTCGATGCTGAAAAATGTTTATGTAAAATTTTTACTAAGCTATAAATTTTTCTTGTAGTTTTTTGCGTAAAAGTCCTCCAGATCGTCAGTATTTTTAAGTGACACTCTACAAATTAGAGCGGTTTTAGTAGAAAGTGAAGCAAAAGAAAATTCAGTCAAAACTAAAAAACCAAAATTTTTGAAACACACTCTTACAGTGTTGAGAGGTATGGAGATGACGATATTTCCAAATAATCTGTTATAAACTTTCGCTTATTCCGTTGGTTTTTTGATAGAAAATGATTTTATTTTTGTTCCAAATTCGAAACTGGAATGGTGTTTCAAAACTTTTTCTTTTTTTTTCAAAATTTGTAAGTGTAACTTCAGAAAATTGAGGATTTAGAAGAAAAGTAACTTGCCCAAAAAATGTAGACATTTTAAAAATATTATTAATAAATGGTCATTAAAATAATAAATCTAAAACAAGTAAAAAAGCCATTAGATGACATTTTTTTCAGCAACGGAAGTGAGTTACGGCCCCAGTGCATTGGGTTGGCGCACCAAGCCATTTGCGTAGCACTGCGCCAACTTCTAAAAATTTACTGAGTTACTCAGGCCTAATGCCATGAGCTCATTGAAGAACGCATCAAAATATTCAGACATTTTTTGCAAATTTTAAGCAATTTTAAGCAATCTTTGCTATTGGGGCACATTGGAGAACTTAGATCTGAAAAACCATTGACCTCAAGAAACACGCAAGTGAAAGTTTGACTTTAACCAAAAGCTTAATATCAATGGAGCTAATTGAAAATAATTTAATAAGCAGTTTTTGAACCATGAATAATCACAGTCTTAGTCCACACATTTTTTTTTCAATTAGATAGAAGTTTTTCAATCCTAAATTAGATAGAAGTTTTTCAATCCTAAATTGYCGATTTTTTCTCAGATTTTTCTTCAGACAACGCGTCGAGGCAACTGCAACGAGTCCAAAGTTTTACAAAATACGTAAGCATCACGAAAATCATTTGCATGTGTAAGTATTTAAAAATCGGAACGTAAAACGCGAACAATAACACTAAAAATTTAAGCAAATTATGAATAGATAAGTTCTGTATTGTTGAGGCGGATTCATGTTTTCACAGATTGTTTATTGGATATTTCGCCTCAAAAAAACTTCAAACAATGACAAAACAATATCAAATAATTGACAATTTGTAAAAAACGAATTATCAGAGCAAATTGTTACATATTGTATTCTCCTACTATTGTTAAGCGATTTATTAACACACTCTTTTTTAGATTCATATAGGTTYTTTTGATAACTGTAGCAGAAAATAGCCATCGAATCGTCAAGGTAATTTTTTTTTTTATGAATTCCTTTACTAATTGGAATTTTCTCTTACAGCTTGAGCCTACGCAGTCTGTGAAAATTATGACTAATCTTCCAAACCTGCGTGAATAATTCCCAATTAATATTCGAAAAATTTTAGATTTCAGCATTGAAGCTGAAAAACTTTTGGCCAATGAATGTAGACGATTTTCTTTGCGCGCCACTGCATGTCACTTCTGTAGCCAGATCTAAATATCCACATGTAGCAATGTCACCCTAATAGGGTTGCAATGTTTTACCTAATTACTGGAATTAATTGACATTAATTATGGGACACTGCTTCACATGCCGATGACTAATTAATAAGACCCGTGCCTTGCTGAGCCCATATTGAACATACATCTATGGTTTATAGAAAACTAGAAATTAATCGTTGTAACATATGGTCTTTGGAAACCACTAATGTGGGCTACTGACCGCCAACGCTCTAACTTAATAGGTCCTGCTGACATTAATTGCTGCCCTTCTTGCTCAAAATTAGCAATTTTATTCTGGCCACTCAAATATTTTGGCACAATGTATCGCATAATAGTTTTGCCTCCCTTGCGCACTTTAAGCGAGGGTCAACCGTATCAAATCCCGAGGCAATATCGTCAATAACGTGCCGAATCAAACAAAGAAGAAAACATAAAATGAATAAAGATCAAGCAATAATCGTTATTAGAGAACAAATCCGAAACACATTTATTACGGACGAAAGCTAATACAAGCAATCAAGAGAAGCGATTATTCTTGGAACGACTAGTTGGAAGGACTTCCGACTTCCTCCAGTTTTCACTTCCAGTTTCCGGCGAATGCAGGTTCGTCTCTATCCGGATCTAACTTATTTCGCCATCGTCTTACTTCTGTATAAGGATATTGCGCCCATATTTTCTTAGTTATATTTATTGCCCCCTGCTATTCACTGTTCCAGCCAATAAATTCACTCATTGTTTTCAACTCGCATAACTACCCTGTTGTTTCGCTCATTAAACTGAATTGAACTAATTTTTTGTAAACTACTGTTATAGCGAATTTCATGCCGTTTCCACTTCAAATTTTATCATTTCCTCTGAAAAAATCTTAGTACTCTCACATACAAAATAAAACTTGCCCTGACGGACAAGCAGTTTGCTTTGTGACCAGATGTTTCTGCACCAATTCGTCAAATTGAGCCAATAAAATTGCTGATAGAAAGATATATCAGTTAAAGTGTTGAGGCTTATTTGCAATAAAATCAATACAGTAAAATTTATGGGGCGTTTCGTTTCAAATCTAAAGTTATCTCCAGTCACATCTGCAGTATAGTCCAGCGCTTATGGACACTAGTAAAACTTCACATTTGATGACCTGCCATCACACGTTTACAACCCTTGAGGTTTGACAAAGAAAACTCAGCATTATAAATAAGGCTTGCAGAATTAGAGTGGCGAAACTCCAAAAGAAAATTACCGACAAATGTGAATGTTAATAATTAAGGTTTTACTTTTAAATGTTTTTTTGCAAAGAATCTTAGTTGATTTCGGTGTCTGAAAAGTAAACTGGTTAGACGTTTTGACGAAGGCGCCCTAAAGCAATTTAAAAATTAACTAAATTAAGCTGAAAAACACCAAACAATCATTTAAATTGACCAATTTGATTGATGTATTAACAAGTAAATTATCATTCAAAGGGGCTCAGCCACAATAAGCCAGTAGTCCTCAGAGAAGCGTAAAAAATTTAAATCCAAGATTTACAATCGCG